GTTGGAGTCGTAATTCAGACGGCGTGGAGAGTTGCGATCTAGTGTTAGACTGACCTGCCTCGATTAGTTTTAGCTACCTGCAGGTCAGTCAGATTTGATTGTAATGGTTTTTTTATATATGATAAATAAACTTGAACAGCTTTCCGATTCAGCTTACGACTCCGTCGGCTCACGATCATGTGAAAACTAGATTGTCGAAGTCACCAGCAGAAACCAAAGAACTAAGCCAATTACAATGCTGGCAATTTCGACAATCTGTTTTTCACTGTGCAGCGTCGGAAGGCGTAGGAAGAATATTGACCGTTCTAATTCTTTCGGTTCAGATTCCGTCCCGCTTGTGAACGTCCCCCCCTTACTGTTCCGATTTTTGGTTTTCACTTGGTCACAAGCGCTCAGAGACTCAGTTTAAGCCTCCAATTCCGATTTCGTAGCTTTGTAGTTAAAACAACAGCCCTTAAAGACTGTTAGCCTGAGAATCAGATCTCCCGTCTTCCCCCAAAGCTCCCTAAGGAAGACTTCGATGGAGGCAGCGTGGCTGAGTGGTTAGAGCGCTGGACTTGTAATCTTGAAGCTTCGAGTTCAAGTTCCACCCTGACTGCTATCTGGATTTGTTCTTGGTAGACCCGAGTTCAAATCCTCGAACACGCTTGTAAATAGCCAACTTGTTCGCCTCCTACCAGTAGGGATTCTTAAACATATTATGTTCTATTTGAATTATTGTTTCATTATTTCTAAAAAGCCCAATAAGGGGAGTGGATAATTAGGTATTTATTATTGTTATTATTAGTATTAAAAGAAGGGCCTGATGTTTAGGCTAAAAGGATGTCATGTTCTCGGACGTGTATCTTTAAACTTACTGTAAATTTCACTACAAAGTATAGCAATAGACCCTGAATGACGTAATATAATTCAGTGCCAAACGCACATGACATAGTCGGTTTTTGGGGGCAAATGAAATATTTTGAGCGATTTTAGTAATAAAGAGTAAGGACCCCATTCGAGTACTTTGGGAATTCGACCTGTTAAAAATTTTCACTTTAGTGATTAGATATGCCTCTGTTTGACAACTTTGTCTCAATAATTTCTTTTTAATGAAAGAGTAGTAACAGAGCGATTCAAGGCAACGTACCGCAAACTGCCGCTTTTAAGTTCCCTCCCGGTTTTAATCCCCCTCGGATATAAGTCCCTCGTTTATTATCCCTCCTAAAACCCCTTAAAATAGATGTATAACTGTAACCCCAGGACCCAGGGATTATAAGTTTGCAGTATGTCAAAACAACATGATCTTTGAAGTAGAATGAACAACTTAACTGAAGGAGTTGAAAAAGAACCTGAGTCAGGCTTGATCTGGAAACGATCCCTGACCTTTGCGATGACCAGTTAGCTATCCACTGAGCTAATCAAGCTAACTGAAGAGCAAGTCATTGTGACGGTTACTAATATACCCAGTGGTGGAAATGACATAAATTGAAATATATGAATGAATCATATTTTGAACTACGGATAAAGATATATATTGCTTAAAAATTTGATTCTTCAAATGGAAATAAGTTAAGTCTGCTTAGTAAATTGAGAAAAGAAGTAAAATTTGAACATATCTTGAAGCAAATCATTTAATTTGTACTAGGTGTTTCCACCTGTTGCTGGGACAAAACCGTAGAATATAAATGAACTTTAGATTGTAAAGGTGCAAAGATCAAACATATTTAGCATTTCCTCTAGTTGGTAATCTTACTCAAAGGAAACTGTGTTTTCCAAATACAATTCAGGCTGTAACTCGCGTAGCCCGCGTAGCAGGCGTTTGGAAGTATATAGTGTGCACAAGAAAGAACGGGCGCGCGAGAGGGAGACACGCGTGCGCCCACTACTTGCAAGCACCTGCTACGCAGGCTATAACTCACGTAATGACAATAAGCCTTTCAGTAAAAGCTTTTAGTACTGCTTGTAACTGAACGAGTCAGGATCATGCAAAATTTAGGAGACAAACAGAGTGTATTATGGGGAGTTCGAAAATGACAATAAAACTTAGTGCCGCTTTACTGAAAACCAGTTCTGAATGTTTAAAATTCTGATCTTAAGCATTCCTTAAAAAATGCGAGTAGCGTAGAAAGCATCCATATTTATAAATTTCGTTTATCGTTGTTGTTGGTGTTGTTTTGACTCTTTTCCTTTTCTGTTACTTTGTCTGTTTTTATATATATGTTTTGGTCCTGAACTCTGTCGAAGAGTCAATAAATTAAAAGTCTAGATATCGTTTGTGAGGCCCATCCTCTTAACATTTGTCTCGTGACATCCTCACTCAGGAAGCAATAATCGGCTCCTGCCCAACCCTATTACTCGTCTGCACTCTGAGTAAAGCACATTTTTTGTCAGCAGTACCTCTACCAGCTCTACCATTTAGCTAGCCTCCTACGCAGACGTTCATTGGCCGGCTTCGTCGCGAGTTCCTTCCCCCCACCCCGAGGACGTGGGTGGATTGAATAAATTCTTATTTTCAGAGGAGCACCCCGGTTACTTTTATATGGAAGGCATCCCCCAACCCAAATAGAACCTTCCACGGTTTTTATTAACTTTTGACATGGACCAGTCAGGGAAAATCTGTTGACACCACTGGAAAGAGCCCCTTATTAGTAAACTTGCCACGTTTGAAAGCTATACATCTTACGAAAGCGAAGATATAGCTGCGCAAAGTTGTGAAAATTTACAGACGTTTGTATGGTGGGGGCACGTACAAACTAGACTGTGCGCGAGCAGTCAAACAAAAAGTTTTTTCTCTCTCGCCTCACACGCTAATCTCGTACCCAGATCTCCCACGGCCAAGAGAAAGCCCCACGGGCGTGTGAGGCTCGCGCGCAAGACTCTTACGCCACGCTTTACCGATTCCTTTACTGATTTTGAGGAAAAAACCGACTGTTTTGCAGTCTACGTACAAACTTCCCCTCACCATACAAATGTCTGTAAATTTTCACAACTTTCCGCAGCTATATCTTCGTTCGTTTTCAACAAATTACTTTTAAACTCGGCAATTTTTCTAATTTTCAGCAGAGTCGACCGTTTCTCTTTAAGCTGTTCATGTTAAAAGTTGAAAAAACAGCGGAAAGACCTCTTCACCAGTATTTTTGAATACCAAGGGAATTAAATCTTGTGAAGCGAAGCGAATAGCTGGTCTATGATGATGCACCCTTTCCTTTCCCTTCGGAGAAGTCTTTCAAAGCCTGCCTCGAAGACTAGCAAAAGTGGGGCGCTGATTTGACTGATTTCATGTGCAGCTAGGCAATCCATTATCCGCTTGGACAGTCTGTTAACATGGAATGAACACTTATCTCAAACCTGTAAAAAGGTGTTTCCTAAACCTCGTTATCTGAACAGATTATCTCATTTTCTGCCACAATTTGTGCTACTCAAAATTTTTAAACTTACTATTCTACGTATAGTTGACTACGGATCTGTAGTGTGGTTAGACTACCCGAGGGTAATGGTAGACAAACTTCAAAGGTTTCAGAATTATGCTATGCGTTCTATAGATCGTTTTCACTGTTAGGCAACAAGAAAATATATTGGAAACCGTCCTGTGAAAGAAGACAAGAAAATGAAATGTTATAAAAGATTAATATATAAACAATTTGTCCAAGTCTCAGGTCTTTGTGGGCCACAGTTTCTGAGTTATTTTCCAAAACGTTTCATGCACCTTTGCAGAGCTTTGTATGGAGACGCCATATTGGTGTACCGTTTTGGTGCACCAATTTGGCCGCCGGAAATCAACAACAACATCTGGAGTTCACTTTTCCATAAAAGCTCTTTCTTTTCACTCGAGAACTAGCATACGTGCACATAAACACATCTTCTAATACTTGAAATGGTTATACTGCTGAAAATCAAGAGGAGAGACTTTTCAACGAGACAGCATTCCTATATTGGTGTCACGCACTGTGAAAACTTGAAAGTTCAGATTGCTGTATTTTCGAAATGAAACATGCTACGGGAATGGAAACCTGTACAAAGATTCACTTTTTGTTCATCTTCAACCTAGTGTAAATAAGAATTCGTAAAACCTCGCTATTTTGACTTTACAATTTGACATCTATACTCAAAGCAGACAGAAAAACCTGTACTCAGCCAATGCACGATGAGCTTAATTTATTAACGTTAAGAAACCGCAGGTGTTTTCTTAGGTTTCAACTTAATTTCAAAATTGTACACAGTTATCAGTGCGCCGAGTAGTTAATCTCATATTTACCTCGCCGATCCAGCGTACGCACGAGGGAGCTCAGGGACGACAGTTTACTACATCTACCAACTCGAACCAACAGCCAAGACAGCCATGGGCCAAAGTACAATTCAGTACTTGGCCGCGAAAGATTGACACTCATAAGGCCCATATCTTTTCAATGAGCAATTTTTAAGTTTTTTTTTTCAGTACTTGGCCGCGAAAGATTGACACTCATAAGGCCCATATCTTTTAAATGAGAAATTTTTAAGTTTTTACGTGACGAAAATGGACACAGTCACCAATGCTAGGTTTTATGACTCTTTTTAATTAACGTCGCTTGTAAGTATAAATAGTTGTATCATATGCAGATTTTCTTTTTTTAGATTATTTATGCTGCACATGAGTTAACACAAGCTGCGGGCTGATTCATCCTGCAGAATATATAAAGCTTTTATTATTCCTCTTATTATGCCCTCTTCGGCTTTTCCTTCTATGGTAAGGTTCAACAGTTCCTAGTTTTTTTTTTTTTTTTTTTTTTTTCGCATTTGATCACCCCCTTGATAGGGTGTTTTTTTTTATGGAGATTAACGTGACATTGGAAAAATAACAAGTTGATAATCCCATCTGACAGCTGTTTATAAACTTGCTTGAGGAGCGGAACTACCGCTGTAGTCATAGAATTGACAGATATGGCAAAATAACCCCTCGCAACGAGAGTGACCTTGAGAGCCCTTGTGTACCAGTCTCCCTTCAACAATCTGAATGAGGATCCCAGCAATCTCCGCGGGCAGTTCAAAGTCCAAGGATGCGTATATTGTAATTAAAAGGACGAATATCGCAGATGACACCAATAGTACCCGTTGCATAACAGTCGCTTTCATCAGCTAGTTTTAATCAGCGTGCTGAAAGAAAACAGCAAAGATCAGTGCTTTATTTTAGTCAATATGGCTTTGGAACGGTTGAAGAACAAGATCAAGAGGGCCTTCGCCAGCATCTCAGTGATCACCTACGCACTCGTGGTCATTTTCGGGACAGGTTCCTGGATTGCCATCAATGGACTCTGGGTTGAGTTACCTTTAATTGTTCCTGAAATCCCAGAAAGTTGGTCGCTACCGTCATATCTAACTGTTATGATTCAACTGGCAAACATAGCCCCCTTGACATTTGCAGTGGGCAACAAACTTTTCCCACGTGTAGTTCGCGAGGTACCAGTTATTTACATCAGTGTTTTGGTCGGTATTACGTCGTGCGTTCTCTTGGTATTTTTTTGGAAAGAAACCAGTTACATCGCAGGAGCGGAGAGAAGTACAGCGCTGCTTGTCCTGTGTTTCTTTCTGTCCATGGTAGATTGTACCTCATCTGTGTCGTTTATACCTTACATGGCCATCTTCCGAGAAGTTTACATGAGCCCGTATTTTGCCGGTGAGGGGTTAAGCGGGCTTCTTCCGAGTCTTGTAGCATTGGGACAGGGAGTAGGTGGAGGTTCTCATAACCCTTGTCCAGCTCCAAGCCCGACAGAGGCACCTTTGAACGGTACTAATGGAACATCAGGGAATGCTACTGATTCTGGAAGCTGGGGTCTTGAGCCAAAATTCTCTGTTGAAGTGTTCTTCTGGTTTCTCAGTGCGATGATGACAGCTTGTGGTTTGGCGTTCCTTGCTTTAAATACGCTTCCCATTACTAAGCGACAGCAGGTTGGGAAAGACTCCAAATCTTTGTATCATATAAGTCCACAGCCAAGTGAATCAGGCCTTGAGCTTTCCCCGGTGGATGAGAAAAATGAAAAAAATGAAGTTGTCATCGATGAAGATTTGTCACAAGGTGGTGTTTTGCTCCTGTTGCTGATCATAGCCCTGGCTGGGGGCCTGAGTAATGGCATTTTACCAGCTATCCAGTCATATGCGTGTATACCATACAGCTACTACATTTATCACCTGACCCTCACACTGTCGGCTATAGCCAATCCTGTCACTTGTATTCTGTTCCCCTTTATAAGTACCACATCAGTGGTAGTTATCAGTGCACTGACCATCATGTACTTTGGTATGTGTACCTACATCCTCGTTGTGGCCTCACAAAGTCCTGATGTGCTGATGAAATGTGACAATTCTGGTGCTGTTTTGATTGTAAGTATATTAATTTTTCACTATTTGAATATAGGATATTACATGGCGGTGGCAAGATATGACATTTTCTTTTGAGTGTTGATACAGTCTAACCTCTCCTTACGGACTCCTCTATAATACAGACACCTCTCTATTATGTACAGTTCTTTGGTCCCAGAAATGCCAAAAATCATACATTCCCTGCCTCTATAATACCGACACCTCTGTAAAGTGGACAATATTGGTTCTGTCTCTTAGGTGTCTGTATTAAAGAGGTTTGACAGTACACTCACTTGTGAAATATTTTTGAAAATGAGAAGAGAAATTGTGTATCTCCAAATCATTGAATCACTTTTAAGTGAAGAAATGTTAAAACATTGCTTTGCTTCAAAAGGTACAATTTTATGTAACCATGGCAACAGTGATCTTAAACAGTGCTATTGGCACTTGAAAAGATATCAGGTTTTTGGGCCAAAGGTCATGTGTTATTTCATTGGTTGCTTGTAAATTAACCCCTTTAAACATGCCGACAAATGCACACTGTCAAAGGGATAAGACTCCTTTGATCCACCAAACTTGAATTTTGGTTACATGGGAAGTTCAAAACATCACTCCTCATCAACCTTTATCTGCACGTGTTTAACCATATCCCTTCCTCTAGAGATCTAAATTCTTGAGACTGTCTCTTTTGCAGTATCCTGCCCCCTCCTGTTGCCCCAAATTATAACATGGGTGTGGTACAAGACGTTATACAAAGTTACTTGAAGTACAGATTGTCAAAATTGGCTTTTTTGACAAATATAGTCTTGTTGGCGATTAAACATGTCCCAAATGCAACAGAAACCATACTGTGATGGAAAAGGTTTTTTTTGATTTTCTGGGGACAAAAAATAAAATGAGCTTACTTCCAACATAAAGCAAATAGAAACTCAAAATTCAGGAGATTTGGTGACCAGTAGGTCAGCTGGTAGATTTGTGCTATTTCCCGGAGACCAGATACTCCAGGAGAGTTGCCATATACCGTAAAATACTGAAAATAAGCCCCTCCAAATATAAGCCCCCCAAACATGTAACGCAAAGAACCCTCTGTTAAATCACCCCTCTAAATATAAGCCCCCCAAGGGGCTTGTATTTGGAAATTGCCCTCAAATACAAAGTAAAACAAAGCAAAAACAGTAAATTTCCTTCCAAGTATAAGGCTAGCCCAATAGATTTTGAAACGCAAATTTCCCTCCGTAGATAAGCCCCTCCAAATATAACCCCCTCCAAAAATAAGCCCCTCAGAAAGGGCCTTTGGAAAATATAAGCCCCGGGGCTTATTTTCGGAATTTTACGGTATGTTACACCCATTGTGACATCATCACTTTTGTTAAAATCATTAGCCTGCTTTGGTGGCTGTTTTGATGAGTGCGTTTTGAGGGAGGATCGAGGAAAAGAGAAATGCCCTCTTTCTGTTTTTGGCCACATTGTACTGCCTGTTTTAACTATTTGTCACTTATCTAATTTAGCAAAGAAACTATGGTAGAGTGACAACGTTGCTTTCGATGAAACATTTTGAACTGGCTATAATGTAGATTATGTGGTAGAAATAGTTTGGCAATAAGACTTGTATGGATATAATAAATTTTATATCAAGTCAAGTACTCATAATTATTTGAAAGAGTCTATTCAAGGCAGTCATTAGGTAGGTGCAAAGTACAAAACTTGGACAGGATCACGTCATGATCATTTACATACTTATCAGACAATATAACCTATTGCTTTCCCAAAAATTATGTAAATGAGTTGATCCTGTCTGAGTTCTGTTCCTGCTAGTGAACTTTCTATAGAAAAGCATTTCGCTAATTGACTCACTATTCAGTATCCTGTGGCACACAGCTGTATCGTAAACAATAAGCTTTACAGGTTGCTTATATGATGGTATTGTTATAAAATGTGTTTCTCTTCAAATGATAGGTTGTGATAAGTGTTGCGGCTGTTGCTGTGGTGACATACGTCAAAGTTGCCATTGGAGGAATCATGCGTGAAAAAGGCCGCAAACATTTGCTGTGGTATGGAATAAGCACTCAAGTGGGGTCCTGTGTGGGTGCTCTTGCAATTTTTGCCCCTGTAAATGTCTATCACATGTTTAAGCAAGAATGAATGAGACTGGATGTGATTCAGTCTTCCCTCAATGGTACATGTAACTGTTGTAAAACACCTCACCATTCTTTCATAAGTTTATTTTTTAAAACTCACTTTGCTTTTTATAATCATATGATTATTCCTAGAAACACCCAAATCTCTAGTTTTAAAAGTTGCTAAGCTTAGTAAAAATGAAAACAGGACTGAATAAAGTCCAATTTGGTCTGTATCCATCAAGCAGGTGATCAAATAGAATCGGACAAATTCTTAGCAGAAGACTGAATTGTTTATCACTAGAGTGGTATGAGAGAGCTTTAGATTCTAAGACGAGGATGACTACATGAACAATATTTTCCTAAGACTAAGTAGTGTGCACGTGCAAACCAAGTCATCTTGGTGGTAAAATGTGATAGCCATTATCATTCTCCTATGAGTTCTAGCGAGAATGTTGTGGTGGTGAAAACAAGTTATCAAAATTTAATGTTAGGAAATGGAAATAAGTCAACTAACTTTTGTGGTGAAAAAAGTACAATGTTGCTTTCCAAGGTGTCTATGTTTAGAGAAGAGGCAAGAAAACTTAAAATTGAAATGTCGTCTTCGTAGACGTCCTCAAATGTAAAGCTCTCTGTTATCACAGACCAGAGTGGATGACAAAAAAGTTGTGTTATCAGTCATAACTGTGTGATTGAATTTTTCAAGTACAAGTTAATAACAAGGTTTGGTGTTAAGTAATGAATAGAACTGAAGTAGTCTTTGTGAATTTTCTGGTTAGTCACCCTGAAATTTCTTTTTGGCTTAATCAGTGCTGTCACTTTTCTGGTTGATAGCTATACCCTGTAATTCATTTGTGTGGGAAAAATAATAGATTGTAGCCTTGGGTGACAAAAATATTTTCAGAACTCAAGTTGTCTCGAAATTTGTCAAAATTTTTTAAAATTATTTTTTGAAAAGTTCTAACTACTAGTGGTACTTCATTTCCAAAGTAGTTTACCAGTATAATAAATATCACAGCCATGCTCTTGTCCGTTCAAAGAGAATTTGTACAGCTCCTTAGTTGGATTAAATTTTGTCAATTTTAATCTTCTTGCTGTTATTTAAAAATTGTTTTTACATATTTATTATCACATGATATAATGTAAGCTTAAAATTGTGCTGAGTAAGCTTAAAATTGTAGTGATAGTTCCTATAAACTGCAGGCTTCTTTTATCTTTGGACCACCAGGTGCAGCAAGTTTGGATGGGATACTCAGTGGCAAAATCAATGCACTGAGGCAAGGGAAAGAACTTTCTGGAACTTTCTCCCTCTAATTTTTTTTTATTCAGTAAACAGGAGTGTCTGGGAGCTCTTGCCAAATTTCTTTTGATAACTGTGCCTGGAACAATTTCATCCTTAAAATGTCACACCCCAATTAGCTGCCGCTGGGTCTTATCTGGTCTTGAGATTTCAAAAAAAATTTAAAATTTTGTCAAAAATTGAATAGTGCTATCTGCTGGATAAATCACAATCCAGCAGATAAGTGTTAGGGAGGCCAATAGCGTTTCAAGTGGTTAAAGTTATCCAACTTTTGAACAGCTGCGCCAAGTCTTTTAAAGGTAATGGAGTTTAATCTGCATCTTAACATGGAGCTTTGGGGGGAGTTGGTCATTGTTGGTAGTCTGAAAGGATTACAATTGGATTGGAAACAGTAAAAGTCATAAAATTTTATCTTTTTGGTTTGGTCTAAGCGTTGGTGATACATGAAATTAATTCGGGAGAAGTAATCTAGTTATAAGCTTAAATCACAGTAGACAGGGTTCGTAGAGTCTTGAAAAAGTTTTGAAATTTTCCGAGCAATTTTCCAGACCTGGAATAAGTCTGGAAAATAGAGATGAAGACCGGAAAAAAAGGTAAAAAGTCTTGAGTTTTTTTTTTCAAAGCTACAACAAGTGCTTTTTTGTGTGAATTTTTTTTTCGTTTTGATCAAACCTTATTAAATCTTGCGCGTATGTTTGCAGCCCACCAGCGTTTTTCTAAGGTCTCTGTTAATCACCTATTTAATGACCCTGACTCTGAAAAAAAAATTTCTTTTGGAAAAAAGTCTGGAAAAAGTCTTGTATTTTGAATTCAAAATTCTGTACGAACCCTGAGTAGATGTTAGGGAGTCATTATTAAAACGTTACTTACAGTTGTTAGTAGTCTCCTTGATTTAACATTTTTAATGTTTATCATAGGTAGTTCAACGTAAGTTAAATAAAAATTGTGAACAAGGCTGAATGTTTCCATTCATCTGAAATGTGCAAAGAAGTCAAATAATTGTGGGTTGGCTTGGTGACTGAGTCCAAATATAGTGTTTTTTTCCTTAATTATTCCAGGTATCCTGTAGACTGAGGGTGTGGTACCAATTAATTTTGGGACCTTTCCTTTCCTTCTGCCCCAGACCACATTTCTTATACACGGATTGTTTTCTTTTTCCTAACGATCCTTTTTAATTTGAACCAGTTATGGTTATTTTTTTGGGTTCGATTCTTTATCGTTCTGTCGCCTTATGGGTAATTGTGAGAATGAACGTGTGCGTGTATTACGTACTATACCAAAAAGGAAGTGAGAAAAACTGGCAAGATTAAAACACGATGCACGGGCAAATCACTTTTATTACCAATTTTATCTGGAAACATTCTCAACAACTTTGACCTTTAGGGGGCCTTTTCCACATTTTAATTTAAAGCCGGTACCCCTGCTCGCACAGCTAATCACTGACGTGAAGCTTGCTCGACTTACTTTGGAACCGTTGAACAGGTCAATGCCTTACTTTTTTTTCACCACAAACCTTCAGAGCACTTAACAGTATTTTCTCCGGAAACAGTAAACATTAAAAAATTGGCCAATTTAACAGCAAGCACTAAAAATTAGAAGTAAATAACACTAAACTCTAAACCATTCAGACCCTCATCATAGGCCATAAAGAACTAGTATTCTTAAAGCTTTTCTTTCGTACAGGGAGCACTTATCAAATAAATTAATAATTATTATTAATTAATAATTATTATTGAAGGCAGGAAGGCAGGCTAAAGAACATGGAGCGGCAAGAGCATGGTTAAGGCTCATGTGGAATTGTTGCCAAGTACAGCTTGACTTTACTGGTCAGTTCTGTTTTCTTGTCTTTTGATTTCACAGCTACACCTCTTTTCTTCAGCCAATCGGCGAGAGTGACGGCGTTTACTTTTTGGAGCTATTATAAGAAGTAAATGGAATAAGCTGATCGTGAGCTATCAGCTAAAAATGATGTAAACGTTGTCATAAAAGGTATTGTTCATCGTGGATAATGTCTATGGTGAGGGGGTTCGGTAAGGGACCACCCCGCATTCATGGCCGGTAAGCCAGAGGCGCAATTTCCAGTGGGGGGGGGGGCGAGTGGGGTGGTGGAGTGAGGGATATGGCCCTGCTTTCGCTGGGGAACTCAGGAGCTAAGTTCTCTGAAACGTCTTTCCTTCATTTTAAGACTTATTTTACGCAAATCGGCCTTTGTCATCTTTAGACAACATTTTAACACGTTTAATTCCAAAAATTTTACTCTGTCCTCAATCTTCTCTTTCCAAAATGCATGGCGCAGAAAACGAAAAGCTCTGTATACTTTAGTACTTTTCCACATATTCATTCGTTTCCTTGTGAGAATCGGATCGGATCACAACTTGCGTATTTTTTTGAAATTACTTATTGGATTTTAAACTTCTTAACTGTGATCACGAAACTTCAGAGTCATTCAGCACAATCCCCCTACCCCTTAGTGTGTAAAATAGCCTGAGATGCCGCAAGTCAACTGGAATTTATTGATAGAGTGACACCTAGATGGCAGAGACAAACACTTCCTTTACAGTACGGAAAGGCAAACTGAAGCATAGAACAAAGGCTAGGCTGAACTTGGCTACTGTTATGCGGTTATGTAAGCTTGAAAATGTACTGTACCTGGTCTTGTAACGCTAACTCCCTCACATCAATGTTGTCCTGAATTTTAGGCTTTGACTTCGGCTTCTTAGCAGGTGGTTCCTCGCGAGGAAAATCTTCCACCTTAAAAACACAGTTATTCTAAGGTCACAATTATGCATAGTTCGGTAAGTTTCCTATGTTGACTAATTCCTCGGTAGTGTAGGGGCTATTCGCATGATATCGGAATAAGTTTCACTGAATTTATATTTCTGCATCGATTTACATCCCGGATACCGAGACGAAATTCCATTCCCGAACTGGTGAAGTCATTCCAGTTATCAATGAGAACACGGAAATTCTCGTTATGGCATTATATTTCATTCTGGTGTGACAAAAATCGTAATTGTAGGCTGGGGCGAGTGGTGCATGCGTATCGTCTGGACGGCATGACGGGCACCACCTTAGGCTTAGGCTGTTGATTTTGTTATGTGAATGCTGCTTTTTGACTTCAAGTATTTTGTTAATTAAAATCACTCCTTCAATTTAATCTAACAATGAAAAAAAATTGTAGGAATTGTTAACATGGTTTTAATACCTGAAGTCCCAATGTTAAATCAAGAACAGATTGGGACTGGCCAAGAATGCGCCTTTGCTGTAGTGACTGAATAGAGGTTGGCTGGTCTCTAACCAGTCCTGAAAAAGGCGACTCACTTACAAGAACATCACCTAAGAAGGAAGGATTAACAGTCCTGTTGTTGCTTGGCTTCGGAGGCACGTTTCCCGTAAATGGGGCTGAGAGATGATCTTTGGTAGAAGAAGCTTGTGTTATAACGAGTCCTGGTCTTTTCTGGGGTAAACACTTTGAAACTGGCACTGGACTGTATGTCACATCAGCATTATTGATGTGAACCGCAGCAGGCAAACTCGCCAAGTTTGACTCAGTGGTCAATTCCCTGTTAAAGTTTGACGAAATACCATGGCTCTCACTCAGACCAATGCCTTGTCCCATTAAAATGCTTCTGTGGTTTTGAGTGCTCCTTTGCTGAGATTGTTTATGTAAATGACTTACGTTTTCCACTGTGACCGGTCTTATTATGCTAGTAGGAGGTTGTAACGAAGGAAAGGATGAAGCACCCTCTGATTGCACAGTTTTACCAAGGGCACAAACTCTAGATGTAGCCGTTGTATTTTTCTTTCTTGAATCGTTTCCACAAGACTGCACTCTCTTCTTCGAAAACGTGGGAACAATTCTAGTGGCAGGCGTGGATGGAGAATTAGAGTTACATTTGGCTGACCTGCTATGTTCAGTGTTAACCAGATGCTTACTAGTGAATCGAGGAACAAAAGGAGTTTCTGAAGAGAGGTAAGAAGGTACCGGGGAAATATGGGCAGTGACCCTCAAGCTCGTTGGATTAAAAGAGGGTATTATCCGGCGACTAACAATTCCATCGCTGGCCGCGGTTTGATGAATTTCGGACGATGCTGCTCGAGATGAAAACGGCGACACCGAGATAGCTTGCCTCGTCAGTTCACATGCAGAATGATGTTGAACGGTGAAAGGTCTACAGTGGTTCATTTGAGGCGCTGTCCTTGTTAGGTTACTGTGGTTTGGAGAGGTTGCCTGTTGAAGTCTACATGTTGGGTAGAGAGGTGCAGAAGTCAGCGCTAGGGGTGTACCACAGATGGAAGGCATTCGGGAAGACAAGTCTCTCAGAAAAGTGGTAAAAATCAGCTGATGATCGCAGCGAGGCGATACTACGGCTTGACTGCTGCGGATACAACTAGCTGGGTATCTGATCGCTTTTGGTAAAGAACTTAATCATAACTGGTATCGTATTCAACAGGGCTGTAACTGAGGGCCGAGGATTTCCCCTGGCTAATAACGGCTTTCACCGCCGACTACTAGACCCAAAAGAACTTCCTAGCTGATCAATTTCCCTCCTACTTATATACCCAGCAGCTCGAAATCTTAGCGACAGCCCTGACTGAAAAAAATACAGTCATATCTGGCTATCTTAGATATAAATATAATGACTCTTCTGTAAGGTATGGATGTGGTGTCTTAATGTCACCTGTTGTGTCCTCTGTTCATAGAAGTGTACTTTCAACATAAACAGCCTAGAAAAGTTTTGCGAAACAGTATAAGAAAGAAGTTTCGTGTTTGATTTGATTTTTGCGTCGCCGCTCATTGTTATTAAGTGAAAGTATTTTCATGTGAATGGCAAGAGACATTACTTAAGTTCTGCTTTTGTGACCCTCATTCAACTAAGTCAGCGCATTGTCGATGAAAAACAGGCCCATCTAAAGGATACGTAAATATTTTCCCACGGATGTAATAGAAACGTACGTTGTAAAAAACATTTTCCTCAGCCGGTAGTCTGTATCCATACTGCGTAAAAAGAAAAGTAATAACGACGAATATAAATGAAGCTGTGAGAAGCCACCAGCCACCATTTTTCAACATAAAAAGGGAATTCTAAGAGCCTCAAACGTACACCTACCATAAGTTTCCAGTGTTTTCGTAAGTCTTCATAACTAGCAAACGGGCATTCTTCGGGAAGGTAATGGGTTATGCTGAAGATTCTCCCTTTTTTCAAGCTAAAATAGCAAAAAAAATTGGTTAAATGAGCTTTAAGATCCTTTTAATACAAATCAAACGGAACTGGGTTTAGATCGTAACATTTCATCATTTTTATTGCTTGGATAACCGTAAACATGAAGAAAATGAAAACTTTCGTCGTTACAGATCGAGACTTGATGAATGGTCGAAAAACTAGTGATAATGCATGTAATAATAAGATGTAATATATTAAAACCCTGTTTCCGAGAAAACAGCCAACTTTTCGTTTGAATATCTATAATAATAGTTTGTCATTTTTTTGTTGTTGTAAGACCTGTCAAACCACCTCCAGAAAGTCAAGACTCAGTTATTTATGGTCATTTGTTTTCTTTTACCGTGGTGACTTACATGGCTATATTTTAAAACAATTTTAATTAAATGAGTTTCTAAATTTATTGGCGCGCTCCTTACCTCGGCAACACAAAACACAAATCATCGGAAATAGCTGCCTCAGTAATCACTGCTTTCTCGTTAGTGTTAAATTCCTCTAATGCTCTTGTCGAAGCAGTGAAATGTTCTGGCTGAAGAAGTACAAACAGGCAGTTTACCGTATTCACAAATTATTTATCCTCAGTAAATTTCCTCTTATTGTCTTAATAGACTCTCTTCGCCAGGCCAACGTAGTTAAAATCATGGTCAAAAGTCTTGGGACACTTGCATTTCTGGGGTGTTTTCCAATTCACACATGCCCAACCCTACCCCTCCCCTCACCCCACAAAAAACATTGGACGCGTGTATACAGAAATTTTCCGAGTTTCAACTTTGTATAGGGTGGGGGGGAGGGAGAACTGCAAGAAAATTCCGTAAAGGATGCACTGTTTTATGAAGTAAATTACAGAAAATTATGAACACTGCAGTTAATCCCCAACCCTATTTCTAAAGCTTTCACGTAAACCTAGCTAGATTTATGGATGCCCATTATTCTAAAGTTCAAAATGTCCCTGGAAAAAATTTCTTAGGCTTGAGCAAACCACAATTAAATGCTTTCGAAAGTTTTTCCACCGAAGACAATACTGTCATACCCGAAAACTCTCACTTTCCTTTGCCAGTTTTCATGACACAAATAGTTCGAAACAATAAATCTGGGATACACTTCCCTTAGGCCAGCCACTATTAAATTTTGCCTTAGTCAGCTCGTCTCAATTTGAAAACAGCACCTACACTGAATCATTTTTACCATGCAGAATACCAAAGTATATTACCACGCAGGGGCTTGACTTCAAAGAATAAGCCAGTAATCCAATACTGATCTTGTCGTCACTAATTGTTACTTCCAAGGCTGCATAAAAACGCAGACAAGAAATTAGACTCTGTAGTGGGCATCAGAAAGGGAAGGGAACGGACTATTATGTTCTCACATGTTCACTGAAAAACAGGCAGAAACTGTTCCACAAGGCTGATTTCTTAGCTAGACAAGGAATAATAGAGAGCTTTAGATTCTAAGACCAGGACGACTACGAGAACGAGATTTTCTCATTAGGGAAAGTTCATTTAATATGACAAAGGGGGGGGGATGAAGATATTGAGGGGGGCTCCGAAAATTTTAGACACCCGAAGGGGGGGGCTCTGAAAAAAATGTTGCGCTAGGAGGGGGGGCTCCGAAAATTTGTATACTTGAAAACCAACACATGACATCATCATACAGATCGAATGGTTTTCAACTCAACAATTTAATGACCTGTGCAACTCAGCTATATCACGTGGTTTACAGATATAACAAATGTAGTCTCAGCAATTATTACACTCTTGTTCATCCCAAAAATGCTTTAGACAATAACGGTAAATATATTTAATACAGTCTAGCGATCTTTTTTCAGGGGAGCAAAGGAATTGAAGGAGGAGGGGGCGGGCTCTGAAGTTTTTTCGACTACCAAGGAGGGGCTCCTAAAAATTGAACCGCTAGCGAGGGGGGCTGCTAAAATTTCAAGCTTTGAGTTTCAATATCTTCATCCCCCCCCCCCCTTGTCATACTAAGTGAACTTTCCTTTACTAAGTAGTGTGCGCGCGCGATTCGGCGCGAACCAACGTCATTTTGGTGGTAAAATGTGATAGCCATCGTCTTTCTACTACAGGTTTTAGCGAGAATGTCTTAGTGACGAAAACAAGTTATCAAATGTTAAGAATTTTATCATTTAGCAATCGGGAGAGAGTTTTACCTCCTTCAATGAAAATAAGAGTACTAACTTTTGTGGTGAGAAAAGTACAAGGAAGTTTTCCAGGGTGTCTATTTTTAGAGAGCAGGCGAGAAAACTTAATGATTTCGCCCTAACTATGAGGTTTATACTTACAAACTGCATTCAGTTTCGTTTTTTCCAGCATGAAGTCACGACCTACAAGGAAATATGAAACACTGGACAAAACTTAAGAGTCTGCCAATAATAATATTCCCAACAGACTCAGCAATGCGAAGGAAGAGCGCATTTTAGTTGTTCAATTGAAGTTTATCCTAACGTTTCGTCTTAAGAGTTTAACCCTTCAAGACCTAAGAGGGATCAGCATCAAATTTCTCCTTGTAATATCAATACTTTGTAAAACAGAGTGGTCATGAGAATTACGGACATGATCACACAAGATGAATTTGCTTGATATTTTATCAACTTCTCCCCACTACTTCTGTAGGAAATGAATAGGGGCAACAAGTGAGAATTCAAATTTTGATCTTACGGTTTAAAGGGTTAAATCAGCATAGATCGGAGGATAACTTCCGTTAATTTTTGGCGTTCCTTTTTCTGGGTTAATAAAGATATTAAATGTCCATCAATTACCTTGTACAAGGAACTCTCCAGCCTTGTTCCACAGTGGTGCGAGCTTCTGTTTCATTGTGAACGAAAAGCAAAACTGAAACAAGCCTTTAGTCAGATCTACTCGCTCTGTTTCCTGGTAAAAAAAAAAAAAAAGATGAACAATAGGAAATTTTACATCTGAGCCTGGGTCTTGTGTAATGATATAATCAAGCTGTAAACGAATCTGATTACTAGTTGAGAGCAGTACCTCACATTCTACAGATTGTGGTAGTTCTACACGCAACTACCAAATGTATACGCGTGTATTTCAGTGTTGAACATCTAGTCAGTCCTCATTTCATTCAAAACTATTCAAAGGGTCGTACTTCATATACTAAACCTACTTAAGCTTATTGAGAACATGGACAACTTGGAAGGAAAAATAAGAGTGAGGTAAGCTTATTTCAAAATCCACTTCGAATTCAGTTTAAAGCTTAAGCTTACCTTTATTTTTAGCCTTTGTAACAGCTCTTGAAATTCGGAGGAATGAAAAATCATCTCCTAAGAGAAATAGAAAAGTAAGGTTCAATAATAAGCTTAAGCTAAAGTAAGCCCATGAAAAGAGGTTCTCTGATATTTCTTCATTTGGTAAGTCCACTACCTTAACACAGCTCAACATCATAGTAGGCGTATTAGTTATATTTACAACGTTGGCAAATTTCAGCATATTTGACTTTTAGTTGCACCTGTGTTATGAGAAACAGCTTGTTCCTGTCATCTGACAGTGGAGACAACAGAACTTTGGGCTCCGTGAAGATAATCTCCCTGCAAAAAATAAGACTTAAAGTCTTATTATTAAAATAAACGTCACCATCGGTTCCAGAATTTCTTTCGAATTTATCCAGATTTCGGTTTAAACATCAACAGTCAAGACCAGTTTAAAGAAATACCTGCAACATTTTGGCTGAATAGCGCTTATTTCATCGTCTTTTTCCGCTCGTATGACAGCCTCAACAGCGATCAGTTCCTCGAGGTTTGGCAGAGGAGCAAAAAACAGACCGGAGAAGCCATCTTGGTTCCTCATCTTCGAAGTCTAGCAATACAGTTGTTATCAAATATTCTAAGAGAACTCACTAAGTCTACTTCACAATTTTGTGAATTCAATACCCTCAAAGCGAAAAGACTAAAACTCGAATATTGCTCTCGAAACTTGAAACTTTTAAGCATCTATTTTGTGGGAGGAAAACGGAAAAGAAGTCAACGACGGAAAGCCTTGCGTCTGCGTGATGGTTCCAGCGCTAACGTTTTGGCGGGAAATAATTCGCGCCCTTTTTGCATACGCGTTCGTGCGCGTTGTTCTCCTCGCGTTGTTTTTTGAGTGCTGTTTGGGGTTTCTGGTTTTAGTGGGAGGAGGGGTGGGGAAATAAAGAGGTCCTTTTTCGTGATCTGTGATTTGTAATTATTGAACGTAAAAGATTGGGATCGCGGTGCGACCAAATCAAAACCAGAGTCAGAAGTCCAAGCCTGTGCTTTCCATTTTTGCGGACCAAGCGGTCAGAGATCAGTGGGAGTAACCAAAAACGAAATGGTGGGCGTAGTCAGACACTGTTGAAAAAATTCCACCCCTAACGAAACCTTGTAATGTTTCTCCACCGAAATTTAGATTACTTCCCTACAGTGAAGACTGAGGGAGTGAACGGAGAATTACTGAAGTCTGAGCGCAAGTTTTGGTCGGGTAAGAGAAGACCCCTCCAGATTCCAGAGATCTACCACTTTTCGGGGTACAGTAAAAACCCACGTATAAGAACCTACAGGCTGAAATTTGGCATTTAAATACTCAAAAATATAAGAAACTGTTCAGCCTGGGAAAGAAAAATAGGTTGTTTTACAAAAAATCACTTCAATTTTGATGGTCAATTAAACTGACCGAGTGAGAAAATTCTGACAAAAAGTTACGTTGTGTATACGTTTTCTTTGATTTACATTTGTTTGGATTTTCACTAGAAATATGTTTTCCATAAACCATTATGAATTAGTAGTACAGTATCTCTGCAAATGGTTACACTACGACAACCTCTGAAAAATAAGAACTGTGAAGAACCTAATCAGCCTGAATTGTGAAAAACTACCCTAAAATATAAGAACCTGTTCAGCCTGACCTCGAATTTTCCAGGTTCTTATATGCGGGTTTTCTCTGTATTTACAATCCTGTCTGCGAGATTCGACAGGAATGCAGCTTACTTAGTATCTCTTGAAATTCCACCTGCAGTATAAAGCTTATTTACCCTAGTACATAAGAATAGCCACAAAGACATTGAGGACAATAGGCTCGATTATCAGCCGCTGTTCGCGAAAATGAGCCCGCACTCTCTTCAGGATCAAAGACCGGACCCGGGAGACGGCGGAAATCGAGCCTATGAGGACAACAGTAGGTCAATACTTTGCCGCCACCAACACCTCAAGACAGGAAGTAGAGGGCCGAACTAGCGCGTAATAAAACTACGTGAGTGACGAGTTGGAAACAAAAAACAAACAAACAAAAAACTCTTGCCATGCTAACACGTCGTACATTTATGGGGAAAAATCACTTGAGTCTATGAATGATGGCAGATTTAATTTTACTTGATTGTTTCTCGACAATGCCAGCTTGTAAGTTTTAACAGCAGTCAAAATCAAGTAAATTACTAAGACTTTTCTTCTGGTTACTATTTCATCTATTAACTACAGGCATCAATATAGTTAGTTACATATATCCTCGAAATAAAAAAAAAAAAAAACTTTCTTATTGTATATCAATCCCGTAAGGTTACCACATGTTTTTAAATAAACTATAACTCTTTTGACGAAGATAAAAGCCACGAAACTCTGCAGAACGAAAAAATAACTAACTTCAAACCCAAAAAGCTGCTATAAAGTGACCTCGCAATGTAAAAAGCTTGCTACGCTCAACACACGCCGCAGCAAGTCTCTCTTTTATAACATCATTAAATAAACAGCAAATATGGAGCCTCAATGCTAAATCTCAACTCTACCTGGTTCGCCTGCGCCCCAAGCAAAACTTAACCACAGGCCCATCAAGCTCACTACGAGAGTTTTTAAGTCATTAATACGCGTGGTATTAAATTGTACAATCCTCAAAATGACCGTAAACCTACCGGTCAAAAAGGATTTGTATGGGAATTCCGGTATTAACTTTGCGCCTTGATTAGCCTAGGTAAAGCCTTTCTTATTGAACATTCCCGCAAGCCTTTATCTTCTTGAATCTATTAACTGAAGTCCCATACAAATGCTTTATGTTCACGGCCATTTGAGGATTACACAATATGATACCACACATATTAAAGATAACCTCTCACATTAAGGTTGGTTGGCCTGTGCTTTGACAAGCAGTGGCTTCTTACAACCAAAGTAGTAAATTATACATAAAAATCTCACTTCATTGGCACTAAGCATTAGGTTGTCTAGTTACCAAACACTGAATAATGACCCTCCAGCAAGAGAAAGGCCAAATAATGGGTGCCTCCCTAAGGCCCAGTGGGTTAAGCACAAGCCAATCAAGATCTCGCTTTTCGGGGCAATGCCTGTAAGTGCACGTGGGCCACCCACGGGGAAGTATAAGTCGATATCTAATTGGCTGTTGCCTAACACTCTTGGGACTTCAAGGGTTTAATGTAATATGACAACACGAGACAGAGTGTTCCATCACAAATCAAACACTGAGAAAAGAGATAAAACACAACGCACAGCGGAGCATTTTTCACAAAATTCGAGGTGATGGATGTTGCGATGAAACACTGTTTGAGCGTTTGATATAATTTTACAAACAAAATAATTTTGAGGAAGAAATTAAGGATGCAAAAACTAGTTTTTCAGCAGATACCCGAACACGTCACGGTCACAGAGGAGTCCCTTAAAGCTCTCTTGTCATATAACATGCTTTCCTTTGAAATACATTTGACTTTATGAGCGGCATTAATCTAAATTTGTTAAGAGCTATTAGATGGTCAAAAAATTTTGTCTCCCTCCAACCGATAGTTTCAAGCCAGTATTTACCCAAAACACGCACAATCATCAAAATTACCGTTACTCTCCCTCTTAATCATGTTTGAGAAAATACTATAGTCTTGTAACATGTCAAGCTCGTCCCCAGGACCTTTCCCTGGGGACAAGGTTGGCAAAATATGTTTGATATTCTCTTTAACCTTCTCCACTCTCCCTTGCTTCAAAGTCGTAGTATCAGACTGCTACAAAGAAAAGCACTACGAAAAGCTGTACACAAAAGCCAATGAAGCGACTAATGTTTAGACATTAAAATGATAAAAAAATCGGTTAATCTCTATATGTAATCCGTTTGACTTACGCTATCCAAAAATAACGGAATTTTACTTTATGTTAACTTTATGACGTCTTTTGGTAATCTCACAGACTCAAATACTTTAAATTGAAGCATACAACTACGATTCAACTTTTTACTAAGATTTTTCAAAACGTTCAACTTCCGGTTAACAACTGGTAATCAGTTATAAATCTGAGATCAATAAACTTCTTTTCAAACAGTTGACAACGTTTTGGCACAGTAAACTGTAATATTTCTATTTTCTAATTCTAACCGGCCATTTTCGGCACGTACAAAAGACAGAATTCAACTTACTACCAAAGCCAAATTGTTAAAAAAATGCAGACATTCTCTTGGCTCGTCACGCACTTCGATTTGCGTGACGCGTTCCCTCCCCAAGAACGGTAGGATTGCGTGATGAGCCAAAAGAAAGTCTGCTCGGGAGGTTGACATTGCCTGTACTCTGTGGCTGTAGCATCTCATTTAAATCAACTGTAGCTCACTATTTCCATAATACGGGGAAAATGATCCAGTTGACAACATCAAGACACCAATCACCTAATTTTCCACACAGAAACTTTTCCAGGTTAAGAGGCAAATGGTACCACAGATGTAGTTAAATCGATAGAGACATTTAGATTCTAAGACGAGAACGACTGCGAGAACGAAATTTTCGCAAAACTAAGTAGTGCTCGGGCACGTGAACAAGCGTCATTTTGGCGGGAAAGCGTGATAGCCGTCGCATTCTACGACGAGTTTTAGCGAGAATGTCGTGGTAGCGGAAACAAGTCATCAAACCATTTCGCGATCGGGAGAGGGCCTAACTTCCTTCAATAAAGATAACAGTCCTAACCTATCTGGTGAATCAAAAGTACGATGAAGCTTTACGCGGTGTCTATTTTTTTTTACGCGAAAAAACGTTCAGTCAAATCTCGTAATCGTAGTTGTTCTCTTCCTCGAATCTACGGGTCTCTAACTGTGTTCGTCTGTCGACACAAATGAACTACCAAGCTATGCACTAAACCTACAATCCCCTTGAGTACATAGCGTCTCCTTACTTCCTGCCACTCCTAAAATCGCGGGTTTGAGTTGTGATGAGATCCATGTCCTGTTGTGTAGTGGGGAGGCACTTGCAAATGACCCGGTAGGATTTGCTGACCGTGCTTGCGAAAACCTGTTTGAACCGGCTGAAATGCTGACTGTCCACCCATCATACCACGGTTTCTCTGTAAACCACCAGGCATTCCATACTGCATGTTATCAAATGCGCGCTGACGTTGCAAGGTGGACTGGTAGCGAGCATAAGCAGGGTGTGGGTATCCTGTGGGAGCTGCAGACCTACCATGGCCTGGCCACCAGTTCTCCCTCGGGAGAAAAGGATCACTGTAGTGTTGCGGAGGGAGGGGGGCTCGGTGATGAGATGGCCTCAAGGTGTCTTCTGTTAATGATGTTGTCTTGGCCCACAGTGGGGGTGGAGAAGAGTCTCGAGCTGACCAAGGAATCTAAAAATAACCACAAGAAACAAAAGTATGTATATTATTTCGTCCTTAAAAACAAAATGGACACCTTATAAGGTTAACATGACACTGCATTATTCGCTTTTCGCTTAACACGGCAGGTACAGCACCCCACTTACCTTGATGAATTGATGGAAAAAACTAAAGCTATGTTCAGTTACTCTATTTAAGTTAGAAAAGATAAAGAAAACAAAACCCACAGATAGCCCGTATGTTTTGCAGTCGAATATGAACTTTGACCAGTCAAGGGTAAGTAAGTGCAATGGCGACATAGTGAGGTATTTGGTAAGTTATATGACAACACAACCAGAAAACTCTGCATGACATCTCAAAACAACAGTTAAAGAAGCAGCGTCACGGTTGTCTGGTTTATTTTGGTAAAAATGACTGTTACACATTCTAATATAATAGGTGACGAATTACTCCTTAATTTTGGCGCGAAATTTCAGCAATAATTTGTATTTTCAATTACAAAATTGCCATGGCAACCTTCCGTACGTAAAAGTGCCAAGATGGCGACAAAGTTTTAAAATGTCATGAAAGAAGAACTGAACGCACGAAAGAGCACATCAAGAAGGATTCTAACAGGTATTTTGTCGACAAATTCTGAAGTTAAGCCAACTTTAAGCTCTAAACGTTCGAGAGAGGAGTTCTCGACCGATAGGATCCAGGATAAACATGTCAAAAATCCAAGATTGCTAACGTAATTCGTCACCCATGATATTAATAGGTAAGGCTCGGGAAATTATAAGGATTTGGAAAAACGCGCGTGAAATTATTCCCTAATTTCACTCGTCACCATTACTTGACTGCACATACTTATTCGCTGTGGAACTTGAAAAATTACTGGTTAGTGACAATTAGATATCAAAGCTTCAAGTCACGCAAATATAACTCCCAAGCATTATATCAATAACAATAACAATAACATTTATTATTTGTATTGCGCCTTTTCCATAAAATATTCAAAAGCGCATATCAAACGTTACTAACACCAAAAAGGAGTTTGGAAAACGTGTTAGGCCAACAAGTTTTCAAAAATCAACCTCCCAATCCGTTTCAATCTTCCACAAGTTAAGACCATCCGTGCCTCCTCTTGTATTTGCTGTATTATTTGTACCTTCGTTTAATGTTTTCAGCAGGTTATTTTAAAGTTTTACTCAGTTTGGTGGCACTTCTCACTGTTTAAATATGAACAAATTTCGCGACACAACCCCTTTACGTTTTTCCTTCAAATCAATGATCACACAATTTCCCTTTCAAAACCTATTACCTTCTGTGCAAGGTCCTCAGTACTCCAAGGTTTTCCAACAGTTGGCATGGAAGGTAAATGTCCACTGTGTACTGCATCACAGCTTAAAAACAAACCAAAGATTTTTATTAGCAAGCTTGATTCTTTCATGAAGCCAAAAACCTGGTCATGACAAGCATGATCTAGAGTAAGAAATATTCTAATAATATCCGGGGGGCTTGTAATCGCTATAATCGGATGTATTTTTTTTATACAAAAATATATACACAAATATATATACAAATATATATATATAATATAAAAGTATATACACACTCAGTGATCTTGGTGATTTAAGCAATCTGATTGGTTCGCTATCTCGGACTATTCAACAATATTCACCTCCTAGCGAGTGGATAATGTGTGAGCTCGGTGTTTTTCCCGTTTTTTTTAGAGAACGATCTTTTAAAAGTCGACAAAATCCTAGGGCTGACTTTTTTTAAGGCAAGAAAAGACTTGGAAGGATTCAATACGGCGTTTTTCAATTTACTGTAGCGGAGTTTTGTGCTCGATGGATTGTTTACAACTCCCGTGTATTCGCGTAGAAGAAGCCGTTTCGTGAACTCAGCGTTTTCTAAGAGAAAATTTTGGCTCAAAAATCGAAGTTTATTTATGACAAACAAATTTAAAAGGAAATGTTTGCAGAAATTCTACATTTCAAGTAAACAGGAAAAAGAATGATACAGGAAGACGACCTCTTACCTCGAGCAACCGAGCCGCCATTTTTGTCAGCACTTCATGCGAAGAACGACACAACATGCCCTTTTGGCTATAAACTTGGCGAGTCAACAGAAAACAACACAGCTCTACTTTTTTTCTCAGGTAAGGACACAGTTCAAACTTTTAGCGATTCCATTGAAGCCATTACGCTGTTGTTTGCGAAATGAGTAAACTTGTGAATTGCCATGTTTGAAAATTCTGCAAAGATCTATTTTTAAACTTACGCGTGATTTGATCTGTCAATCAAATCCTACTTTTGAATGGTTTCCTTTCTGATTTTGTTGAGATCACTTCGTGTGTATATACTAAAACAATTATTCTTCTCAATCTCGGTGAATAGTGGCTTTGGGAATATTTACCTCGCCGCTTTCGCGGCTCGGTAAATATTTTGCCACTATTCACCTCGATTTCAAAGAATAATTGTTAAGTATTTTTTTTTTCTGCGCGTAGATGGTTCTACAACTGGCAGGGTTTATAAGCTAGGAGGAGAGGGGGTGATATAGCAGTTTACGATAATTTAGGCATAGCTATGTATATGTACCTTCCTCCTCTAGCAGCAGCAAGCATATCAGGTCCAGTGATACCCAGTCCTAATGAGAACACAGTCTTGCCCCTGCCTGATCCGTCCTTGTTGAGAGACTCATGGGACTGGTTCCAGTTGCCTCCTTGGCCCTGCAAATCAGACAGCGCAATTTTCTTTCAGAATCTGGTGTAGGGAGCCTATGTGTTAGCCTAAGAAAACAGCCGACATTTCGCGACGCCACCAGCGGTTTCCCCGCGAAATGACAGCTGAGGAACGAGCGCAGAAATTCCATACTGATGACGCGTCACTATCCAGATCTGGGTAGTGCTTCTGATTGGTTGAATCGAATTTCCCACGCGGCACGACCAAATCAGGAGCACTACCGAGATCTGGGTATTAACGCGTCATCAGTATGGAATTTCTGCGCTCGTTTCTCAGACGTCATTTGGCGGGGAAACCAGTGGTAGCGTCGCCAAATGTCGGCTGTTTTCTCAGGCTACCAATAATATGTGCAAGATATAAGCACTGCATTGCATGACATGCGAAACAAATTTAACCCATTAGCCCCCGGAAATTTTGCTGAAGACGCGTTTTGAAGCTAGATGAGCGGTTTTCTGATCATTGTCGTGCTACAAAGCGCCACAACGTACCACAAAGCCGTTTACAGGTCGTAAACTCCGCAGCCCTTTGATCTACTAAATGCAAAATCTTAGCTTGCGTAGTTCGGGCATGCGCAGAAAGCAAAATTTCTATTTGATTCATTGACTTTTACTTTTCGCTTTTCTTGCCGCATTTTTTCTCTTTTGCTGAGGATTTAGTACGCTTCATTTTGGTGAGAAAAGTTTTTGAGAACGCTCTCAGGATCTTAGGATTAGAGGAAAGAAATGGTAGGTGGGTACTGGAACAAGATTTCAAGGAAATTTTCCGGTCAATGTTACATGGGTTTTCGCCTTTTTCTTCGGTGTCCTTGATTGAATCGTGCTTATTTTGGTATGGTTTGAAAGATCTCTTCACTCTGCACAAGTTAGCGGATAAAGTTTCCCTTGAACATTAAAACTGTTGACGTCACAAGCGGTAGAGGGGACGTAGGTCCGCACGGACGGTTACGGGCGGCTCAGCACTTCCCGCTGTTTGAATTTTAAAAACGTTTATGAAACAGCCTCTTCAAGTCATTACCCCTAGGAGTATTGGAGCAGGACATTTTCCCCCCAATTAACACAGACAAGAGAACTTTAGATTCTGAGACGAGGACGACTACGAGTACGAGATTTTCTCAATATTGAGTGTTGCTCACGCGTGAACCAGCTTCATTTTGGCGGGAAAACGTGATAGCCGTCGTCATGTTACTACGAGTTTTAGGAGGAATGTCATAGTGGCGGGAACAAATGTAAGCAGTTTTATCATTTTGCTATCGAGAGAGGGCTTAACCTCCTTCAGTATCAATAACCGTACTAACTTTTTTGGTGAAAAAAAAAAGTTAAAAAGAAGCTTTCCGGGGTGTTTTTTTTTAGAACACTCGCAAAAACTGCAAGTTAAATCTCGTACTCGTGCTCGTTCTCGCCTTCAAATCTAAGGAGCTCTATAGACTAGTAGCTGTACAACCATCATCATTACTGCAGTAAAATAAAATATAACACAGCAAAGTTCTTACACTGGGAAAATTGGCCCACACAGGGTTGCCATGGATACTGCTACCATAACTTGGCCACTTCAGTCCAAGATCAAGAAGCCCTGGGCCTGAATTACTTGGTAGTAAGCTTTCATTCAGACTCTTGGCATCTTCATCGGCTTCTTCATTTTTGTCGCTACCAGGGAAATCCGACAGGGACCAGCAGCTGTGGTATAGAGTGTCCTGGGAGCCATGAATGTCTTTTTTGCGCAGTGACGAGCCTTCTGAATTGTTGCCACCAGGGTCAGAAGCATCTACAGGGGCGCTGGTTTTCTCCCATACATTCCTTTTAGAACAAAATTGCTTGGTAATTAGTAGTTTGTTTAAGTGTGGTAATTGATTACTGGGTGCAATGACTTGTGTTGTGGTATCTCAAATATTATACGACTTCGCTAACATGAATGGGTTTTTTAGAAATCAGTGGGGACCTTACGAAACTAACATGGTGATAGCAGTAAGAAGGTCAAACAAACAATTGGTTTTGGGTTAGGGTTCGTACCCTTTTTTGAACAAAAATTATTCAAGGACTTTTCAAGACGTTTCAAGGACACATTTCCTATTTTTTTCTCCACTCAGTGCAAAAAAGAGCCTTGAGTCTATGTCCTTTTTAGTTCTTCCACAACATGAGCAATTTTATCCTGAACTTCTTTCTGTGTTTGCTCCTTTTCCTTAGGGTTGGATAAAGTTAGCACCAAAATTCAAGGACTTTCCAGCAACAAGTGCAATTTTCCAGGGCTTTGTATTTTAAAATTCAAGAACTTTCAAGGTGTGGCGAACCCTGTTAGTATGCAAAATAGCAACTCTGCATGTGTGTCACACTTTCCTGTAAATTCATGTACGCCTTACCTAAGGCTTTCACTAATGGAAATTTTGCCATCAGTGACTTCTTCTGAGCTGACTGTGACAAGCACAGGGCTGGTTGTTTTATTTGGATTGGTCTGCTTATTATCAACTCTTAACTTTGCTGTTTCTTTCTCTGGTACATTCTCAGGAGTCACGTCACTACCACTAGTTGCACCATCCTTCACTTGTATCAAAGATGATGGTGGTGATTCTTGAAGAATGGCATCCTTGTCTTTCTCATCACTATCACGATCGGTTTTACTTTCGTCACTTCCGTTAACTTTATCTTCTGGCAGGGGTTGGTTGTCCTGTTTCTCAGCAGATGCTGCTGGTGTCTCTGTGCATTGCTCTTTCTCATCAGTGTCAGCAGGTTTAACAAAGAAAGTGGGGCTCACTTCAGTTGTTGGAGAAGTCTGTGTCTCTATGGTAACCATGTGGGTTTTTGGTAGTTTGAATTCTTTAGAAGAATCTCCTTCAGTGTTAACAGCAACTGGAGGGTTTTCTGTGGTTTCGGAAGAGCTAGTTGATGGCATCACTTCTTGATTATCCTTAGCACTGTCGTCAACCTTGTCACATACTTGCGTCAGAGCACTGCTAGGTTGTGTGACATTGCTCATAGCCATACTATAAATACTCCCAAGGCCACTGTCAATAGGAGTCATGTGACTTTCTGCCATGCTGGGATTGACATCATCTTCGTTCAATAGCCGCAACTTGATGGGTGCACCAGAAAGGAAGTTAATGACCTCTGTGAGTTCCTCTTGAGAAGCAAGTGACAGCTCACTTTGACAAACTGAGGAAAAATAAAATTAGAGTGACAACTTCAAAATTAATTGAATGAGACGAATACAGTTCTTTAAGCAGGACTGTTTATCCTGTTCTCAAGAGAAAAGTTGTGTTTTGACTTTGTGTCACTTGCATTGGTCAGCTTGTTAATGACAACTCTCCTATTCTACAGGCTTGCTAAAGTGGCAGATCCTGCGTTTAGGCAAGGGTGATGTTGGCATTCCTAAAATTGGCTGTGATTATCATACAAAAATCAGGAATTATCTAATGTACATTTTAAGAATTAATAAGTTCTCTTGTCACATATTACTTACTTTGCATGGTTGGTTTAAAAGTTGGCAGAGGAAACTGAGGCACAGATCTAGACCAGTCACTGGGTGATGGTGGGTCGTCAGTTTTAGTCTGCTCTTCCACCACCTTACTTGAGCTGGAGGTATTGTTATCTGGTGCCATAGACTGTTCCTTTGCTTTTTTGGCCCAGCGCCTTGGGCGTGGTGGAGGAAGGGGCGTAGGGTCATCAATGTCAGTGTCATGATCATCACCTGTATCGGTGCTGGAGGCTACAGATGTGCGATTACCTGAAGAATAAAATAATGATTTTAATTGCGATGAATGTAAGGTACACAGTCACTTTGCATATCAGTCATAGGTACCACAGGTAACCAACATAGTAATAACCTATTTGTTTCCTCACCACCGATCTGCACAGCTCACACCCATCATATTATCACCAATGGCCCACAGTCACTAAGCAAACTCTAAAGACACTCACAGCCTTCAGAGCCACAACCTTTACCCTACAAAGGAGGGCAAAGGCAGCCCACACAGGTAAAGCAAAATCCATTCTAGAAGTCCTTTATTTTTTTTCCTGGTTGGTTATGCCATTTTAAAGGACTTTTCATACCTGTTTGGTGTGAAATTCAAAGGTCAAAAATTCTACTGGTGAGGTCATGGCAATTGACCAATAGGACAGTGAGTGATATTTCATGCCACTCTTGACACAGCAATATGTCAATCATTTTTTTCCCCGCATGAATTTATAATATGATTCAAATCCATTAAGGTGAAACAAGTCGACCTCGAGACTTCTTTGGTCATTTGGTCGCTGTGCAAGCTCATGCACTGAAGGTCACTTTGCTCACTTTTAAGAACTTATGAGAGATTGACCATGTGGAATGAAACAAGTGCTGGTGTCAAAAAATGAAAGGCCTGCACTTGACACCAACTCACAAAAAATTAATGGTTTGCCTGTATCAAGTCATAGCTGACCCAAATTAAGAAACCACGCCTCAACTACCACTAAACCCCACTACAAACAACCCAATATTCACAAACAAATTCTCCAGACTGATCTGCATACATTTACATACAGAAAGAGTTACGAGAATTTTATAAAAGATCAAAGCATTTTCCCTTTGGTGATTATTTTATTGATTCTAATTTCCTATACTCTTTATTATCATTGAAGGGATTAAAGACCAAAGGGTTCACTCAGAATGAACTTTCCCTAACAGGCAACTTATGTTGCTAACCTTTCATATACAATTTCTAGCACAACAATGTTGCAAGGCAATTTGGTAAATCAGGGTAAGTGAAAAAGTATGGTGGAGAAAAGAAATCTAAAAAAATACAAAATCACACAAGTACCTGATGATTCATTTCTTGTTCCTGTTCCAGAAACAGCATTTTGACTGGCTGGATCAGCTACAGCATTTGAGGTATTAGCTGCTTTAGCAGCCAAAGACTTTCGTGAGAATATCTTGGATGTGGCTTTTGTGAAGGTCTTTCGAAAACTTTTGTGCTTGTGGCATGGGGAAGTGTCAAGTTTTGTTAACAGGGGCGGGGACTTGGATAGGTTGCGCTGTTTGATATGAATGGCAGGTAGAGGCCTTTCTCTGAAAAATTAAACCACTCATTATTACCCAAAGGTACATGTACAATCCTTTTGTGAGAGAAATATTAAAAAAGGCTGGTTTCTCAAAACTTGAAATGCAAAAATTGGGTCTTATACTATAATTCTTGCATCTCAAAAAACACAAGACACAGATGCAAGAATCGAGTCTTGAGTCGCGAGGCAATACTGTCAACTTACTTTTGAACAGTTCTGTCAGTAACAAGAATAAATTATGCTAACCCCCTATAATTAATAACTATTACTAACAATAACAAGACCTTGTTTAAATTGATTAAATTTTCCTTCAGGCAATTTAAAAATGTAATAACCTATAATTTGTGGAATGATGACAAAAAACACCTTAAGACCTAATTAAACTGGTTTGGAACTAACCCGCCCAAGTTGAAAATTAATAAAGTGACTGAGGTTGTAAAAAAAAATTACCTAAGGAACAAATTAACCTCCACGAGACATAAAGCTGCAATAACATCAAGTCTGGAAACTTCCACATGGTAACAACAACAAACAACATAATGTTTTTTCATTTACAGTACTGACAATAGCAACAGAACTGAAACAAAACTTTTGTCCAGTCATCTGCGACAAGTACATTTTTTGTCCTGGGCAAGCAAATTTGATTGCTGCTTATCCTAACGACTAGCTGAAATTCAATTCTTTTTCAAGTCCAAACAACCCAAAAAGAGCTCAAGCTAGTTTGCATCTTCTGTCACAAAGACATCACTTACTTGTCCTCCAAATAATCCATCAAACTAAACTTGGATGTGTACAAAGCATCAACTGTTCCCAGAGGAGAAGGGAAGTCCAAATCTTTCGAAAGACAGGAAAAAGTAGAAGCATCTTCTGTGATGACCCTATACAACAACAACAAAGTTATAGCAACACATTAATTTTGATAAACAGATTTGATAAACTGTACAATAATATTTCCTAGCTGGAAAGAAATAGTCAAGGACAATGTCACTTCTTTAACAATAATGTTTGAATCCATATTATCAGCATTAATTTACTGGACACAGCAGATGATGTAAAATTTAAGAGCAAAGTAAGCATTCTTAACATAAACCAAAAACAAAACTAATACAATGCCTTCTACTGTACAATCATCAAAAAAGGATTTGATGTGAGAACAGTTTGGTGGCCAAAGAACTATCTTCCACATGATATAGTCACTGCTGAGTCTGGAACATTCCTTTGGGGATAATACTTGTTTTCAGATTCCCAAATTTCTTTCTTTATCTGAGATAATCCTTAATTTCACTTCATTACAACAATTTGGGAGCAACCCCTATTTAAATTTCTGTCATGGCTCCCCTTCTTTTTTCTGCTTGTCTTATAATGCAACAAAATTTTAAATAAACAATTTTATACATCTGTGCACATACCACGTAGTGGAGACTTCAACATGAATAGATGTTCCTTTAACATACACTTGGGCCAGCCGAGTGTTTTTATCTCTACTTGGTTTTGCTGTCACCTATCACAGCAAACAAAAAATACAATTTCATACAAAAAAAAAATAGTACAATCTATGATCTATGCCAATCATAACTTTCATTTACTGGTTAGTAACAATTAAGTGGAGACAACAGTCAGCAGCACATAACATGAAATGAGAAGAATGACTGGTTAAGCTGCTGGATTTCAACTTGGTCTCAAAGGTTCAAACCTTACTCTAGCTACTTCAGCTGAGAATTTTCTTGGTGGAACACAATGCCAGTTGGAATTCTTACTTATGTTTTATTTGATAATCATAATTGTTTCTAGCCACAATTTATTCTTCTTAGTCAACTTCATTTAAAATGAAATAAGATCACTGTAGTTATAGACACAACTTTGGCAGTTGTGAAAAGAAAGTTTGAAAATTCAGGCTTATATGGGAGTTGAACCCATGGCTTCATTGATACCAGTACAGCACTTTTCCATTTTATTGTTATTGATATTATTATTATTATTATTGAGCTAACAAGCCAACTGAAAGCATGTCATTGAGTTGGAAAGGATGAAAGGATGACATTGAAATAATGAATATATGGAAAAATTAATGCATAAAGGAACTGACAGGTAAAGAATCAAATGAAAGAAGCTAAAAGATCATCACAGTCATAGATGCAACAAAAAGAGAGAGCCTGAAAATATCAGGCATGTATGGGAGTTGAACCATTGAACTCTGTGATACCAGTACAGCACTTTTTCAGTTGAGCTAACAAGACAACTGAGAGTAGGTCATTGATTTTCATACTTCATCGAATAAGCAACAGGTGCTTATTTAAAATCACAACTAAAAGGAGAGACACTTCTTGGAAAGAAGATGCCTACATGTAATTGAGGCAGGGGAGGGGGGCAGGGGGTGCTTATTAAGTTTTCCTTCCGACGAAGCGTAACTTTCTTGGGCCTAAAAATGTAAAGTTAATATCAAATAGTCCTTTATTTATTATAGCAGTAAATGTAATCAAGTGTACCTTAGTCTCATTAAACACTGTACACATGTTTATAAAGTATTGATTATCTCACCATCCTCAAGATCATCCTTGTCAATGATATGGAGATCTTCTCATTCCTCTTTTATCCCTACTATTTAAGAAAGTGAGGGGAGGGGGAGGGGGCACTTATTCATGGGGACGCTTGCCTGATATTATGGCTAAGGGAGTGGGTGCTTATTCGGGGGAGGGCGCTTATTAGAGCATGGGTGCTTATTCAAGGAAAAATGGTATTCATTATTTCAAAGTAAACTTTCTTTTCTTAGTTTCCAGTAACAGAACTATCAATGTTTACTCACCAGGTGGGCTCTGCCAAAGAGAAGCTGCACAGCAGCCTTTGCTGCAGAGCTGGACACTGGAGAACATGCTTCATACAAGACCATCAGTACAAACATGTCCAGGGTTTCACGGTTAAGTGGTATGTCATTCTGTTTGGCCACTGAACTAACAAGGTCTCTAATGCAGTGCTGCTCAGAAAGAAATACATTACAGATTCGTTAGATCAAACAATAGGGGTGCATTTCGTTGGGGTGATGCAGATCAGGATCAGTTATCCAAAATAAATCCAATCACAGTGGTGGGTTGTCTCATGAGTTCCTTGAATGGACAAACTGCATGCAAAGATCTACAAGTAAGTTCTCATGACTAATAACTTTTCAGACTTTCTAGGACTGGATTAATCAACATTCAAATTCTTTGCTTTAATTTCCACTACAATACTGTATCAACAATGAAAACTTCTGAGGCAATGTACGAAAGCCTGAAGTTTAAAATAATTGTTTCTTTCTGTTGTAATATGAATAAAGACAATAACAAAGGTACTAATTACCATTTTAGACTTGTAATTATCGTTTGCTTTACTTGGAGAAGAACACACTTCAGTCATGACATAACCTAGAAAGAATAGCAAAAAACACAATTTATCAAGGAAACTAATATCAAGTGCAGTGTGCAGAGAAAGACGTGTCCGATAGCCCGCTTCTATTGGATTTTGCTGGTGAATTCTGTTCATTACTTGGCTGTGGGGCAAGTGAAACTGAAGCTTTTGGGGAATTCAATTATTACAGAAGAACTGTAGTCAACATTGTTAATCAGAAATTTTTTAGGGGGATAGTTTAAATGACTCTTGGGCTAGTATATGCTACACTGTACATGTGGCTACAGCTTGCCCAGATGACAAGCTGTAAAACTGACTTTCTTTGCTCCCTGAAGTGACCACACTATTATTTATTTTGCTTGTTAGAAAACTTGACTGAAAAACAGGAGACTTGAGCTGGACTTTGCATTATCATTGTATTTATAAATGCCACAGGCATCTCACCAATTCTTAACTGTAGTTTAGGAATTAACTTCAGAATCTGCTGTTCCATTTCTTGAACAGTGGAGGCTTCTGTAACACCACCAGCTGCTATGGCCTCAAGCTCACTGCAGCATCCCTAAAAACAGAGAGGTCATAAAGTAAGCATTCCTATCCAACCTATCTCCTGTAACAACTCTCACATGAAAGCTTAATCAGATAGTAAATATGCTTTTCATCATCAGCCTATTGTAATGTAGAAAAGTCCAATAAGGGCCAAAAGTCTGGAAAGCAAGAATGGGTGAGATATTGCAATGGAGAGCAAATGAAAGCCATTGTTTACTCTTGATACCGTGGACTGTAAGCTATTTGACCTGCGTTTAGATTAACAGCTGAGAAAACGTCCCTTGACATAATTACATTGTACATGTAGAATCTACAGGAAAGATTACTTTTACATTAATTTTTTTAAAAAAAGATACAGTGTAGCAATTTGACTGCTAATAATAGTGTGTAGCCTGTGTCACAGACGTAATTGAACCCCAGTTACACATAGAAACTGTAATGTCTGCAAAGCTGTGCTGATATCCTTGTTCTGGGCCCGTGATTGGCAAATTAACAATGGCTTTCTGAACAGGCCAATTGCCTGGGCATACTCAAATTCTGGTACACAAGTAGGGCCCAGAACAATGATTTTGGCACCATATCACAGATGGACTTAGCCAGAACTTAAGTTTTTTCTGTGATGTAGGCTATAAAATGTATTGTTACAGTAAAATTTAATATTCATAACTTTGATTCTTTGATGGTTAAAGTAAGTTCCTGTTTCTCACATGACCTTCCATGGTGAGAGTATTAGACACTTCCTCTGTTCTATGATAATAATATAAACCCTAAGATCAAAATTTGAATTCTCATTTGTTGCCCCTATTCATTTCTTACAGAAGTAATGAGGAGAAGTTGATAGAATATTAAGCAAATTTATCTTGTGTTATCATGTCCTTAATAGACCTTTCCCGCATTCCTGTACACAAAGGCACCAACTCGAGGCTCAGGTGGGCAAAATACAGTGATTTGTATGAAATTGTCTACCTGCCTCATACTCATTTCTTCATGTTTGCTCATGGAACTGTAATGCGGGAAAGGTTTATTCTCATGACCACTCTGTTTTACAAAGCATTGATATTACAAGGAGAAATTTGATGCTGATCACTCTTAGGGCTTAAAGGGATAGGGCCTCCCTTCAAGAAGAACAGTGAATAATAATCTCTATAAATTATTTTCATGTCTTAACTTGCCTTAAGAGCCAGCTCTATTCCTCTGGGGTTTTTGTGGAAGCCTGCTGGTATGTCTGCTTCTGGTGTTGGTGCTCGTTCAAACTCCTTTTTGTAATTCTACAGTCATTAACAATATTAACAAAAAGTTTGCAAACACAATGTGTGAAAAAAAGTATAGAATACAATATCTGCCATACTCTATACATTGTTAAGCAGCCAAAAAAAAATGCAAAACAAAAACAACAACAACAACAACAGTGAGAAGAAATGTTTACCTTAAGCAGAGTATTGACTTTTTGTATCAAATCTTTTCTGTCTGGATCGGCCAAATCTCCCTGACCACCCAGTGTTAGGAACTGGACTTGTTCACGTGACAACAGTTCACCGTGACGCAAAGCCTGGTTAGACTGTAAGAAAGGTAGATCACACCTCAGCACAAGAACCCATGTGAACAGAGGTACTTTCTGCAGGTTCACCTGTGTTTGTATCCCTTTTCAATACACCCTTCCACAGGATTTTTAACTTTTGACTGGCACCAATTAGCAAAAATCCATCTGCAAAATTTCATGACTTTGTAAAGCAATATCTTTGCTCACTTTTAATCAGGGTGCAAAGAAAATCATTTTTACAGCTTGCCATTCTGGCAAGCTGAAGCAAGCATTTACCAGCCCAAATGTCATTTCAACTAGCCCCAAAAACATGTTGATGAGCAGAACTATTTCGCAGTTCTTCTTCATTCCTCGATAAACATCACTTGCCTGTCAGGCAAGTCAAGAACAGAATTCACTAGCCCGAAAGCAAAATCCACTAGCCCTGGGCTAACGGACACTACTTTCTTTGCATGCTGTTAACCCTTTAAGTCCCAATAGTGACCAAGATCAATTTTCTCATAACAATATCCATACACTGTCAAGAGATACGTTATGAGAATAAATCAAATGATCACCCAAGAGAAAATGCCCCCATCTTTTATCAAATTCGCTCAACTATTCTTTAAGGAAATGTATGGAGATCAGTTTGGAGAATTTGTATGTTGATACTGGGGCTTAAAGGGTTAACGTATCACTGTTAAACTTGGTCTTTAACACCTTCATGACTTTGTGGAGCAATTTCTTTGCGCACTTTTTAAGTATCATCTTTAACCTTGGTAAGTTTGCTAACTTCAAGGCACTCTTTCTTGGCCTTTGTCAAAACTTGTATTCATTCCAGTTTACTCTGGAATCTTACAGACACAGGCTCACTGTGTCAAGAGTCATCTTCTGTAAAATCATGTAGAGCAATAGTGACATATATATAGAACATAAGGGAAAATGGTTCCAGTCCTCTCTGATGTAGGAGGCAACAAAACTGCTGTTTTATGGCAGGGGCTAGTGGAGTAACCTGCTGGGATAGCATGTTATGATTACAAGTTGTCCAGTGGGCAGGCAAATTTTTCAAGATACATGTAGTAAAAAGGTTATTGAAAAGGGGGACTGGTAGGTTTGCCTATGCCAGTAAACTGCATCTCACTCTTTGGTAAGCCATCTTTTTAACTGCTGCCTGTATAGCTCTATTGGTTGACCGCTATTTTGGTGAGCGGCAGGTTCAGAAATGGACCGCAAATGATCCTTGACCACAAGTGATCCCCATTTTTGCCTACTGGGCCACAAAACATCTATTTTTAATTGCCGAAGATCAAAATCTACTTGCCCCGGCCAATCAAACCTGGGTTTTTTCCTGCCTGCACCTGTGTCACTGACTGTAAAATCAACTTTGTCATGTGCTCACCATGCTCAAAATTCACGATCACATCTCCTTTTTTCTTTTTTTAAACAAAGCAGACTGATTCTCTTATTCAACTGAAATAGCTTACAGAATTCTAGATTTCAAGCCCCAAGTTCTTATGAACTGTCCAAGGACACATGTACCTACTTGAGCAAGGGAAATCCAAGTTGCTGTGGCATCCTTCAGAGCCAGGGTGACTTCTCTGTCCCGCAGATAGTCACCAATCTCATGGAAGCCTCCAAGCGATGTTGTCAAGTCGGCTGATGACATCAAAAACTGTGCCTGAACTTGCAATAGTGACAGGAAGCAAGATCCCAGCATCTAATAACAATAATATTGTCCGATAACTTCTCAAATCATTCTTACCATCAGACATTCCCTTCATCCACACAAAAATTCTAGTACAGGTTTTTCTCTGTCTTCGCTATCACCACTACGAAACAAGTTGCATGTTTTTTGTTGCCTGTTTTTCCGTACTTCAGGGCTTCTGACAGGTCGCGGAAGAAAAAGTCAAATTTCACTGGATTTTTAGGGACAAATTCGCGGAAAAATCAGCCGTTTTCACGGTAATTTTGTGGGTGTTTTCGGGGCAAACTTCACCGAAAAGCAATCGGTAAAAAACGGCCGATTTTGTGGTTGATGCTGAAGGGACTGGCTGTACTGAAAAGTACGGAAAAACAGGCGACAAAAAACATGCAACTTGTTTTGCACCATTGCTGCAAAAGAGTTCCAAAGAGATTTTGCACATTTTACCACCCACCTTCAAACCTGTCAACAACTTGATTTGGTGCAAGACAGGCTTGATATGCAACTCGTTTTGCAGCAATGGTGCAAAACAAGTTGAACGTTTTTTGTTGCCTGTTTTTCCGCACCTTAAGTAATCTGAGTAATTTTCAGCCCTTTGAAATGCAAAATTGCTGCATGGCAAAATGTTAATAAGCCATACAATCCTTGTTAAATTTCAACTTTTTAAAGAAAATTTCTCTAAAACTATTACGGATACGAGGCTCACATTTTTGGTGATCACTGATATTGCAATGCTCTTTAACTCTTCAAAAATATTACTGGTTTACCCAAAGACTGACAAGCAAAATATGTTAATGAAGCAAAAATAAAACGAAGTAAAGATTTGCCTATTTGTCAGGCCTTAGTTGTTGAAAAGGTTGATGACGCTATCCACTGAATAAATCTCTAACAAGTCACATTTTTTAAGACAAATTCATTTTACTGTTTATGATATAAATTATTGCAATAGGCCTTTTGCATTAGCTGATCACGTGATCAACTTTTGGTAAACACAAAAACAGTTCGCTTTTGAAAAATTTTAATAGAACAAGCCGAAAGAGCATATTAAAATTAGGTAACCCATACATTTTCAGCCATACATATCTCATATCTCCGCCGAAAATTAGAAGGATTTGTATGAGAAAAACAACTTCTGCCACCCAGTCACACTTGAATGGTTTCCATACAAATCCTTGTAAATTTCGTAATTTTCAAATTGTCATGAAATATTTCCTTAAGCATTACAGGGCTCAAATCTCCTTTTAATTCATAACAGGCACTTTGAGCCCTTAAATGCATAAGGGAAAGATTTAACTACAGTTTAAAAATTTCAGAATTTATAATGAGTTGTATGGAAAACCACTTAAGCATGACTGGGTAGCATGAGTTGTTTTTCTCATACAAATCCTTCTAATTTTCAGCGGCTGTTGCAATGGCTACTTGTGAGTTATATGGCTGACAATTTACAGGCTACATAATTGCGGGCGAAAAGAGGAGCCCACAGTCTAATCTTGACTTGGTCAGCAACACTTTATTAACTGTATAACGATATTTTTCTCGATCTTCCTATCCAACGGCTACTGCTAGTTTTAATAATTATGCTCTTTCAGCTCGTGCTAACAAAATCTTTCAAAAGTGAACTGTTTTCGTGTTTACCAAAAGTTGATCACATGATCAACAAATGCAAAAGGCCTATTGTGAATTCTACATGAGCATGTGATCCCCTGAATATCAAATGACAGTCCCAGGAACCCCTGCAACTCAGAAGCAATGGGGCTATTCAGTTTTGGACCAAAATTAACATTTTTAACTGCTTTATATCTATTTTTGCTCTTTTTTAATGTTAACTGAGGCAAAATTTACTGAGTAAACCCACCCAGACAGACTTTGAGCGTTCTTTAGATCAGAGTACCAGCTGGCCTTTCAAAGATAAGATAGGAGACCTCCAATGGTATGATATTACAACAGGGCAGCTATGGCACATGCACCTAGACCATATGCTCCAACTGATAAGGTGCATATCTTACAGAAAATGCTCCCCTCACAGCCATTTCAGAAAAAAAGGGAAAAACTGCCATCATTGTCAGCAAAATACAACGCATTTCATTTTCCTGAACAGCGGAAAGCAATACTGAAACAATACTTAGGTCTGTTTTGCTTTCAAAACATGCCAACCACATTTACCAATAGGCATTTTAACTGTTTTTGAACTGGCCTCAATGCTCACATGTACACGCTATTAATCATCTTTTTCCATTTCGGGGGTATAATTCTTACATTAGTAATTTTCGGCTCATCCTCGGTGTAAAAAACCTGTGACATTCACAAGTGACGTAAAACAATGAATACAAAGAAGCCACTGAGAAATAAACACAATAGAGACAAGGAAAATAATAGCTAGAAAACAAAGAAAACTTCATTGGTTTTTACACCGAGGTAAACCCAAATTTTCATTCTCAGCTTAAAATACCAATCAAGCTATATTTGTAATCTTCCTGAATTATGTAAGAGATTCGACCAATAAAGGCAGCGTAAATAAAGAAGTTTATAAAAATGTTTTGACGCCACTCCTACGCAAAACAATCATTATAAGCCGTAAAATGGTGTAGATTCTCACCATGAATTCTAAGAAGTGATTGTTTTAGCTCGGATTAAAAAGATCAATAAGACAGAGAGTTCCGCTTTCTTTTGTCAAAAAGCTGTCTTTATTCCAAAGGAACGATGCAATTTGAAAACCTTCCAAAAAACGCCTCAGGACAAGACGACATGCGACATAATTCGCCAGCTGTTCTAAAACACACCTCTTCATGATCGCCCGCCAAGAAATTAAATAACTACGTTTAGCTTAACTCTAAACTTGTATTAAACTTCTTTCTAACTGGGGATAGATTAGCATTTTCAACCATAATTCAGAGCTTATTTACATCTTAACATCTGATGTAATACGCTTTGTTCGGATTAAATCTTACACCCGCAGTTATTTTGGGAATATGACAAACAATAGTTGAGAAGGCTTCAGTAGTTTTGTACAAAATACAAGAAATTTCACAAACGCAAATTTGGTATCTCACGCTAATGTTTAGCGCCTAAACCTAACCAAACTTCCCCAAAATTAAGAAGCAATAGGGAGAAGCTGGGAAAAAGTAAGGGTAATGCTTAAACAAAAGACAACATGAAACACGACAGTGGTTTTGATATGTAATCAACAATCTTAAATGTCAAACCGGATAGAATGTTCTAGAGAGATAAAACGTTTCTCATAACAGGATAACCCACCTTGACTCGATTTTCTTCAACTTCAGAAAAGCTTCTGTATAACTGCTCTTCTACCGTTGTAAGCTCCTCTGTGGCAGCTCGAAATCGTTGTCTGCTTGTTTTGAGTCTCTTGCCATCGTTGTTTACTAAGCTATCATCTTTCTCTAACACGTCTAGGTTTTCCTGACACGATTCGTAGTTTTGAACACTTCTTTTATGAGCTTCAATTGCTCTTCTGAGCTCTGGCAACGTTGCCGTGAAATCGCAAAGGGTCCCAAGTATTTGACTCGTGATATGAACACTCGACTTATGAGCGACATGGTCAATTTCTTCAACAACTTGCTTCAGCTGCTGCGAGATTTCTAACAGCGGCGTTTCCTTTAAAACCGTCGAGAAAGCCTCAGCTAACTGGGAGCCTGCTCCACAGAAAGCTTTTGTGGCATCTAAGTAACCTTTTATGAGCTTCTCGATCAATCCCACATTCGTTTCGAGGGTTCCCACGTTCGTAAGAAGCTTCTGATGATAAGTTTGAGCTTTGCTCGTGTCGCCTTTAGTCTCTTTCCACTGATGATAAGACAAATACCTTACGCTGTCCATATTTCACATTACCCGCTGTCCCCGAAGATGAAAACATAGGAAGAGATCGTTCAAGAAAGCGGAACGCGGCGCGCTTTCTCTGATCTTTCACTGAACTCTGAACATTCGTTTCACAACTTCAAACATCTGATTTCATTTGAACATACGATCGATACCATCAGCGGTAATAAACAGAGCGCATGCCTAGGACGTACCATGTGGAAAAAATCAAGATGGCTGGCATTTCAGTGGAAGTAAAAGCTTGGTGCATTCAAGAACTGTTAAAAATAACAGAGAAGGAAGACGAAGTGTCAGGAAATATATTGTCCATGACTACTGCTAGTGAGTTAACTTCTTATATGAAAAAAGTTCTTGATCCCCAAAATAGCAGACATCAGAAAATTTTAGAGGAATTTTTCAAGTTAACGGAAACCTGTGACTTGAACACTATGTCATATTCTCAAAAGTGTTCAGGTGAATTTGATGGTAAAACGGATCCGCCTCCAAAGAAAATCGAAAGCAAAGGAAGAACCAGCCTAGTCAAGGAAGCCAAGAAGAAATTTGTACCCCTGTATGGCGCAGAAGGACAAGCGAGAAGCTCCGTGCTCTTGCCGGGAAGGCACGCATGTGAATGCCTGGGCCAAAAACATGGTCTAGTGAACAATTGCACAGATTGTGGGCGTATTGTTTGCACGCAGGAGGGCTCAGGGCCTTGTTACTTTTGTGGAGCTTTAGTTTGCACCAGAGAGGAACAAGAGATCTTGGATAGAAATTCTAAAAAGAGCAAAAAACTTTTGGAGAAGCTGATGACACAGGATATAGCAGACATGAATAGTAAAGAAGATTCAGTGATAGACAAAGGCCTACAAGAAGCCATTGCTCACAAAAACAAGCTTATTGAATATGACAAAAGTGGGGTGCGTCGTACTAAAGTAATTGATGATGAATGCGACTACTTTGCAAGCAACAGTAGGTGGCTATCTAAACAGGAGAGAGATGCCTTAAGGAAGAAAGAAGAAGAGTTACGAGAGAAATGGTATGGCTCTCGTAGGCAGCAGAAAATAACCCTCGACTTTGCAGGTCGCAGAGTCATTGACGAGAATGAGCCTGATTATAGTTTTGATTCTGATATGGCTGTTCTAGCCTCTGGCTATTACAGTACCGATAAAAATCAAGAATCACGAAGAGTTTCTAATCCTACTGTCCCAAATGTCAACTCCTTAAAATTTGTTTCTTCAGGAAACAGAGATAGTAAACCATTAAATTATGGAGGTCCAGCTGTGAAGGGGAAAAAAGAGATACTGCGTATCCAGGACAAGGAATTTCAAGAGATGACTGATACTGGAGCTTGTTTAAGCATGCATCAGCCATGGGCCTCACTGCTTGTGATGGGAATTAAGAAGGTTGAAGGCCGTGTCTGGTATACACCTCACCGTGGACGACTTTGGATTGCCGCTACAGCTAAGCCTCCCTCTGAACAAGACATTGCCGGTGTCGAGGGAATGTATAAAGCTCTTTATGGCCCTGAAAGTGTGTCTTTTCCCAAGCACTACCCTACTTCATGTCTTTTAGGATGTGTTGATGTTGTGGACTGTCTTGCCCAGGAAGATTACAAAGAGGAGTTTCCAGAGGGCGAGTCTGAATCTCCTTATGTCTTTGTCTGCGAGAACCCTCAACAGCTTACAGTTAAGTTTCCAGTGAAGGGACAGCACAAAATCTGGAAACTTGATCCTGCAATTCACAAAGCTGCTAAAGGAGGGCTTAGAAAAGCTGCATGAATGGTCTACTTATATTCCTTTGTTTGTTTGTTCTTTACTTACATGTAAGAAACGTTTAAGTTTGACTATATGTAAGTCAGTCAGACTCAAGATCGGCAATAGTGTTTTTTACCAGCCAGATGCTCATTGACTGTATGAAGAAAGGATTATTGTCTTCTTAAGTCTGAAAGGAGTTGTGCTAGAACTGAAAACAGGTCTACAGCCTTTAATTCCTGCTGATGTGTCCAGTCTCTGGGATTAAGAAACTATCAAGTGGCCCAAAGGATGCTTTGCAAAGTGATTGATAACTCAGAAAGTTTTTCTCCGTCAAGGTTTTTTCCTTTTAAATGCCAGCTTTGATGTGTTTGCTGTGTAACCATCCTGTATAAGAAGTAGAAAAAAACTTGTAACTCTCAGGTTGAAATGTCTTTCAGGTTATTTGTGTTTTGAACTATTTGTGACATTATCTTCTAGAAAGAAAAATAACAGTCACGGAAATGAAATTAACCAATGATTTATTTCATATTATCACCTAAGGGACAGCCAAAATTAAAAACACATCCCCCAAATTCTGTTCATTCTTTATTTGTGATGCATGAATATATATTTTGGTACCAGCTTAGTATTTTCTATAGCTCATTTTGTTTTAGTTTCTTAGGCAGCCTTTCTTCAGGTTGTCCTGTAAAGAACACCTGTGTATGGTACTATAGTTTTCTAATGGTTTCTGGTCCTATAGTTCTAACTCAGATTGTCCCATGTAATATACTAAGCACAAGACACAGTGTTCAATCTGATATCCAGACACTGCAAAGTGGGTAATAACAGAAACTATAATCCAGTTGGATAGCATATGGAACACAAGTTATCGTGTCCTTTCAATAGAAAATAAGGATCATTAGATGTTTAAGGGAAACTGCCCCCCCCCCCTCCCCCCTTAATTAACAATACTTCTCACTTAGGGCAAAATGTTAGCTTAGGGGAGAGGTAGGTGGGCAGTTTCCCAGAAATGTATAATGATATACAGCGCCAGCCCGGATTTCAAATTGGGGTGGACCGCAAAGGGTCGTCCCTCTTCTCAGAGCCATGCGCAAGCCTATGTACAGATGCCCCCTCCCCCAAAAAAATATCGGGGATTTTTTCTGAGGGGAGGGGGTGTCTGCACACAGGCCAGAGAAACAGTAACATTATGCAAATTAATGGCTTCGCTGCTGGCCCACCATGCGTGCTCTCAATCTACTGTGACTCAAAAGAAAAAAGAGACTGCTCGTAGTCTAAAATCAGGGCTGCAAGGCTTCGTTTCTGTCAGTTAAGGAGGGGCATATTGGATCTGCTGAAAACTGCGAAACCATAGTAAAAATCTACTAGTAAATGGTTGGTTGTAGGTGCTTGCTAAGAAAAAGGCGAAAACCGAGAAGCCGCAAAAAACCCTCAAAAATTCGGATCTTGTTTACTGTGGGTAATGTCGACCGAGATATCGGTCGATATAGCGGTCGATATAGCGGTCGACACTCGGTCGATAGTCGGTCGACACTCGGTAGACAGTCGGTCGATATAGCGGTCGATAGTCGGTCGATAGTGGGTCGACACTCGGTCGAGACATGGCCGATAGTCGTTCCAGATGTGTCTCGGCCGATATAGCTTTTCGTTCACCGACACTTCAACATTTCCGACATTTCCGACATTTCGCCGACACTTCGCCGACACTTCGCCGATCCTTGGTCGATAGTTGGTCGATACTTGACCGATGTGTCGGTCAGTAATTGGTCGACACTCGGTCGATGGTCGGTCGACACTTAGCATTTCCTACATTTTCCTACATTTTTGCGGGACCACAGGAGCAGCAGATTCAACTTAGGCTGAGACAGGTTCTGTTTAACAGCTAAAACTCAGACGATCGGTGATGATACAAACTGGAAAAAAAAAGGTTATCATGTCCTTAGTTCCCAGTGCTCTTCAGTTCTCTTCATAGCGTAATCGCGCCTTGCACTGCCACATGTTCCCCATCTCATGATAACAGTAATTAATGACGTCGTTGCTTAAAAAAAGAGCCATTGGACTCACCTGATAAATTAACACACGACTAATATTCGAACGACAGTTGACCGATATACCACCGACAGTTCACCGATATACCACCGACAGTTCACCGATATACCACCGACAGTTGACTGATATACCACCGACAGTTGACCGATATATCACCGACATATGACCGATAGTAATTCGAGGTGCGTCGACGAAATATCGACCGATACTCGGCCGATAGTCTATCTCACTATCGACCGACTATCGGCTGACTATCGACCAACCATCGACTGACCATCGACCGACTATCGACCGACTGTCGACCGACTGTCGACCGACTATCGACCGACTGTCGACTGACTATCAACCAACTATCGACCGACTGTCGACCGCTATATCGACCGACTGTCGACCGCTATGTCGACCGATATGTCAGTCGACATTACCCACAGTAAACAAGATCCAGAAATTCTACCCGGGGTTAAGGATGTCAACTTTAACTGTGAAAAAAACTTGGCAGAATTTTCTATTGCTTTTCTACCCCTGAGGATAATAAAGGCCTACCCGTAGTCTACTCTTAGATAAAAAGCGCAACTGAACCCAAAACTCCAATGCCATTTTCTTGTAGCCAAAGCAGAAGTATAGAGGTGAGGGAGTGAAATGTAGTAAAGGCCCGAATCCAAGCCGGTTTCCACCTTTTTCGAAAAACAGCCAGACCTAAAACAACGCAAGAACGTTCTTACAGCGCAAGTCGGTCTCACTCGCTTGGAGATTAGATCAAGAAATGAGGAGGCAATTTATTCTACACGAAACAGGATTTACTCGCAAAAGGTTTTTTACTTTCTACTTTATCGACGTCGATACTTTTTATTTGTTTCTGAATTGATACGTCTGTGGTCGCAGGCAATACGCGTGTATAAATACTTGAAAATTCAAGGGCCTCGATTCCAGAGAAATTACATCACTGCCAGAGATCAAAAAAGTGATTAACATGGCACGTCGTTTCAATCATCGCCGAAAATAAACCGCATGCTCATCACAAGAACCATTTGCATGCATTGAAAGTTTACAACACTCGACCATCGCAGTTTCGCTAATTAAGATTCTAATTTTTTTTCGACCACTCAGTAGTGATCACTTGTTCCAAAGTAATCAACGCTTTCAAGCGATAGAATTCGTGGACCGACACGTTCCGGAAAAGCTCTAAATTTAATCTTTCCCAAGCTTTCTTCGCAAAAC